TCCCCGTTCCCTGAATGTACAGCACCTTGTGAATTTATTTCTGTGAAAAGCGCTATATAAATAAAACTAGTTACTTACTTAAAAATATTTGACCAAAGAAAAACCAGAGCAGGACTACAGAGAGAGAAGAATATAATTTAGAGTTTTATTTCTGTGACTGTACGAGCCACAGGAGTTATTTCATTCCTTGTATTCAGCAGCTCCTTTAATTCCAGATGACTCAGCTAAAAATGACAGATTATTTTTCTGGATCTCTGAAAGCAGGACTTCAGTCTCCAAACTTGTAAAGTTCTTCTTTTTACTTTGTGATGTCATTTATGAATGGACTTCCTGGTATGTGGGGCAGGAAGTGTAGCCTTATATGGTGTTTTTAGGGTGGTAATTATACTAATCTGTCCTCAAGCAGCTGATCCACATTCATCAGTTTACGCAGCTCATTTCCACAGTTTTCCTGAAGATAGAAGAGTTTGTTGAATCTGACGTGACATGTTCGTACGAACCCTTTGTACGAACAAAAGTAAGAGAAATTTAGGAGAAGAATACGAACACGTTCTTGCATGAGGCCCATAGTGTTGTCTTGTAGCGACCTATAATTTATCAACAAAGCTCCCATTGGACAGAAATAATGGGGGCGGAACAGAGCACAGACTTGTAAAAAAGATGGAAGTTTGTACAATTTTAAGATGTATTCATTAATTTTATTATTTATTTATTTATTTATTTTGAACATTGAAGTCTCGTGTGCTACATGTGTTATGTCCATTAAAACCTGTCTATCAAGCCCCATCGGGTGCACATGAAAATTTCAGCCGATATCGATATCTGATATAATTATTGCTTTTATGGCCGGTAACCGATATTTACAGATATTACACAAACACACAAATTATATTATATGTATACACACAAACACACTTGGGTCTTTTTTGTTTTGATATCATAAATAAATGACCAGACCTCTGACATGGCTCTCTCCTTCAGTTATTCCTGGCTGCAGCATCAATATCACTATCMTGATGAAACAGATGCTGCTCAACCAACCATCTCCCCTCCCTAAACAGAAACACAAAGCTAAAAAGTGGGAAATCAATATCAGACGTTAACGTCGTCCCAGTTTTAAATATCGGACCGATACCGATATTCTAAATCGGCCGATATTGATATGAATGCCAATATRTCGTGCATCCCTAGGGTGTTTTTATTTTAAATTGGGTCTTCATGTTTATCATTGAAAAGAAACTGTCCCTTTAATAAACCCAAACATATTGTATCTGTGTGTGCAGAGTGCAAAAAGGATTTAAAAAAAGTGTCAAATTAGATTTAAATGAGAATATGTGTAAACAGCAGCAGACTGCTCAGCATGCCTCCTCCTCTTCCTCACTCTGTCTCTCCTCAGCTGCATTTAAATCCAGCATGGCTGCTCTCTGGAGGTCTGCACTCTCTCTGCTCTTCTGTCACTGGAGCTAACTGGGGAATAACKCATCTCCAGCAGCAGGGCAGTAAATCACCCACCATGTCCCAGCATGCACAGGGGCTGATTCCTACAGACACGCTGACAGAGGCAGGAGGATGAAAGTTTGATTAATGAAATGAACAAGTCATAAATCATTCAGCTGTCTGATTTCTCAGAGTGGGATTAATATTAAGAACTGTAAAAGAAATCCTTTTAATAAGTCAAACTGTGCATTTCTGAAACTCTACCTTACTAACATAAACTAAAGTTTATAATCATGTCGAGTTTCTATCTTATGAGTTGCTCCTGCTCCTTTACAGCTGTCCAGTGGTGGAGAAAATTGCTTCAAATAAAAGGGATAAAAATATATATATTTTTTCATTTCAAGCTTGATCTATGGGAACTTATTTCGATTTTAAAAAGTAATTTAAATTAGTGTAATGATGCTCGTCTCAGTGAGCTGGAACACGTCTCGGAGCTCGTTTGTCAAAACGCTGAGGAGCAGAAAACTGGAGACTGTTTCAGATTAACACACCTGGAATAAATCTAAACACTGAGCAGGTGAACGTTTGGTTAGAAACATGGCAAATCTGTTGAACATATATTTAATGCTTCCTGAAGCATGGGCAGAGGATGTTTAATTTAAGCAAATTAAAGCTTTTTTTAAGTTCCATAAATAAAATAACATCATGTAGGAATATGTTTGCAGGCTTTTCATGCCACATTAGTATTTTATTTTACTCATAAACTGGATGAAAAGTCAAAAGGAATCAACATTTAGTCTAATCAGATTAGTCTGCAAACTCAAATATGTATTTTATCTAACTTTTATATATAC